AAAACGCCGAGGCTAGAACAACGCCGAGGCTAGAACAACGCCGCGAAGCGTTCTCTCGGAGGCGCCGCTGCGCCTCCGAGACAACGGTTCGCGGCGGCGGTAGGCATCCCAAGGCCAGAAAAACGCCGAGGGGGGGGGGGGAAAGACGCGTCGGCCCCCCATCGCCCGTGCCTCGCCGATCGGGGCCGGGGTCCTCCCGTTCCGCCTCCTCCTCCTCCGCCTCCTCCTCTTCCTCCTCCTCCTTTCCTCCTCCTCCTCCTCCTGCTCCTCCCTCCCTCCTCCTCCTCCTCTCCTCCTGCTCCTCTCTCCTCCTCCTCCGCCTCCTCCTCCAGCATTGCCAGGAGCATGTGCTTTTGCTGCCGGGGACCTCTCGCCGATCTGCCAGGGGGGGCCCGTCGCCGATCTGTCGGGATTCCGAGCCATTGCTTCTCCCTCCTCCCTCCCCTCGTCCGTCCTCCTCCTCCTCCTCCTCGTCCTCCTCCTCCTCCTCCTCCTCCTCGCCCTCCTCCTCCCCCTCCTCCTCCTCCTCCTCCTCCTCCTCGTCCTCCTCCTCCTCGTCCTCCTCTTCCTCCGTGGCCAATTCGGGCTCAACATGGTCTTGTCCCACGGGCAGAGAGCGGATACCTCTATAGTCCGAGGCCAGAGCAGGAAGATTTCCTGTGTCCGGCAGGAGCACCGACTCTTCCCGCGGACCAGCGCAGACCCGTGTTTCCATTTCCTGCGCGCGGCTGTGCTCGGATGGGGCCTGCGCGTGCTGGCGCTGTTGCGGATGGCGCTGGGCGCACTGATGGTGGGCATCCCAGGCTGCACCGCAGTGACTCCGGCGGCAGCCACCTTAGCGCCAGTTCGACACGGTCCACATCGTCGGAGAGCAAGCGTCGATCGCACCGCTCGCGGGAATGTGGACGTCGCGCCCGTGCCCCACACTTGCAGGAGGCCCAGAGTGGCGGAGGGCGCCCCTCTGGTGCTGCTCAGGCGGAGCCTGCTGCCGATGGGTGCCGTGGCCAGAGGACGCGGAGAGAGGCCAACAGCTCCCCCCGCTCGGAGTCGCAGCTCCGCCACCACGCCGCGGACGCCGCTTTCCAGATGGAGCGCGACGGCCTCGACCTCGACTTGCACCCCGCGTTCCCGACGCAGGAGCAACGAACCCCCCCGACGCCAGTGGGTGGGACCGCCACACCTGGCGAAGCGGCGGGGGCCCGCGTCGCCGACGGTGCAGGCACGCCCCATGCCGCCGCTGCCGGGGGCGACCCGTGGCGGACCTACCTCGACGATGGCGGCGGCCCCGACGGGCCCGGCTCGCACAGAGACGCGACGGGTGGGGCGACTGCTGCCACCAGCTCGCACGCCGCCATTCTTCATCAGGTGCAGGCCGCCATCGCCTCCGCCGTCACCAGCGCCGCGGTCTCCAGTGTCGACGCCACGCTCTCGTCGCGGTTCGCCCAGATCCAGGGCATCATGGAGGCGCGGGTCGGCGCCATTGAGGTCCGCGCGCAGGGTGTTGAACAGCAACAGCAGCAGTTGGAACAGCAACTGCGCGCCGACATCGCCAAACTCCGCGAGGAGATGGGTCTCCTGGTCAAGACGGAGCCGCTCCCCGCCCCTGCTGGACCTGACTGTCGGACAGACCCCCCGATATGGCGGCGGTCGTCCTCAATTGCAATGAGGAGCTCCCGCAAGCGGCCTTCATGCAGGCCATCGCCCCCTTCCTCTCCGACGCGGGCCGGTAGGGCGACGCCTGCGTGGTCGACGCGAAGCCCCATCGGCAAGCGCTGCGCCATCCGCTTCGGGGGCCCCCCATGAGCCGGGAGCCCGCCGCGCCGACAGAGTCCTGGGATGCATGCGACTGGGGCGAGGGGAATGGCGAAAGCCACAGGCCATCACGCCTGACGGGCATACCGTCGAAGCCTACGTGGGGGCCGACCAGAGCCGCAAGCAGGTTACCCACGAGCTCCTCCTCAAGCGGTTGGCCACGGCGCCGGGGCGCCAGGTTGACCCATCCAAACGCATCTTCATCGACAAGCAGGGGCACGCGCTCACTTCATCCTGGAAGGCCTTCCTCCGAGTCTCTGTCGCCTGCCCCGCCGCCGCCCCGCAAGTCGCGCGGTCGCCCGCCGCGCCCCGGGCAATCGGGCTACGGCGGCTGGGCCTTGCACCGACAGTGGAGGCGGTGCTTGCGCCGCAACCTGAAGATCGGAGCCTTTACCACCTTCGTCAAGCTCTTCGCCGCCCCGTCGAGCGCGGGGCTCGCATTCGCCACGTGGAGTACGAGGGGATTCTTTCATCGCTGGGCGGGCGTGGCGGCTCGGAAGAGCGACTACCTTGCATCGACGCTCCGTCCGTGCTGGGGCCGCGATCGGCATGCAAGAGGCCCGCAGGTGGGCCGCGCGCCTGCAGATGCTGCTCGACCGAGCGGGGCTCGAGTGCCAGATGTTCGCTTGCTTCGGCAACGGGGCCAGCGAGTCTCTCGGCGGCGTCGCCGCAATCTCCCCCTTCCATGGAGCGCCGCGGCCTCCCCTTCCCCCCTCGGCACTCGTGGCGGGGAGGGCCCTGCGCGTCAAAGCCGCCGCCGCCTCGCGCCCGCGTGAGAGCTGCGTCATGATGCACTGGGACATCCACGACCGCGACCTATCGCGCGAGCAAGTGGCGGTCGCGGCGGCAGCCATTGAGCGGGACCTCCGCGCCATGGCGATGGAGCCTCAGCGGCGCTTCGCCATAGTCTCGGGCGACTTCAACCACGGAGAGAACGTCGAGATGGAGGACTCCCTGGCGCCTGGCGGCGGCCCGCGCGCCGCCCTCCACCCCTGGGGCAGAGCCAGGAATCGCGCCCGCGCCGAGGCGGCAGAGACGGCCCCATGCAAGCCCGCGCGCTGGCACCCAGGCCGCCAGAGTGCCGCGCCGATTGACAAGATGTGGATTGGGACTCCCCGCTGGCTGATCGCGCAGACGCATCGACGCGGCCGGGCGCGCGGAGAACGGCGCGAGCTTCGCCTCGAGGACACATCGAACCACGCGACGTTCTCGCTCTCATGGGCCCCCAGGCCGCGCAAGAGGCGACCCGCCGCTGGCGCGACCAACCCGGCCCCCAGCTACGCCGCCGACAACCCGAAGTTCACCGGGGTGGTAGCTGAACATGAGTCCCAGATCCTTCTGCAGGCGCCGCCCCCGCCTCACCGCGCCCGCTACTGCGCGAAGCTCGCCCGAGCTGCGGCGGCGGCTACTAGAGACGCGCCCCGCGGAGGGGGGGCCCGTGTAGAAGGCTCCAACGGCTTTGCCGCGGCGGCCGCTCGGACGCACTGCGCGGCGGCGAGACCTGAAGCTCGCCGAGACCCTCCTCCCCAACCGCGCGCGGGCGAAGCAGGTGATTGAGATCTGCCCCGATCCTGGGCCTGCTTGACGACGAGTGCATCGCCTTCGACCCGAAGAGCTTGCGCGGCGCAACCGGCTGGCGCGGCGCCGCCAGGCCCGGGGGCAGCTGGCGGCGGCCCTCGCTCAGCAGCAGCGCGCCCTCCGCCGCCGCGTGGCCCTCTGGGCGCCGACTTCCGCGCGGCGCTTCCCGGGCGGCATCGAGCTCCCCGGCGGCGCCGCCGTCGGGGCGAGACGGGCGCCCAGCGGGCCCCAGCGGATCACTGGCGCGGCGTCTTCGGGGGCGACGCGCGCGCGGCGGCAGCTCGCCGGCGCCGGGCTCCGCGAGCAGTCTCTGGCGCCCGCGGCCTTCAGGGGCGGGGCCCTCGCGCCGCTCGACAGCGCGCCGCCCTGGCAGGCGGCGCTCGTGCTCGGGGTCCAGGCGGGCTAGTTGCCTGAAGCGCCCCGGCATGCGGGGCATGGGCCCCCCTGCCGCCGCTGTCCGCGCGCGCCATCGTCGACCTCGCCCTCCGCGGAGCGCGCGCGCGGCGGCGCCTG